GGAGGGGCAGGAGGACTTCTGCACCGTAACCTGCGAACAGAGCTGACCCCTTGTTTGTGTTCCAAGGACCTGAAGCTGAGGCTTTGAGCACCCAAGGGAGGCGGAAACGCGCGGCTGTAGGAAGGTACCTCGGAGATCCTGGCCGTGCGGAAGACAAAGGGATTCCAGAAGTTGTGCAGAGCCCTGTCCTCCTTACTCCGGTGTGAAGAGCATCCAGAGAAAGCCCCTAGGAAGGATTAGGTAGCTTTTGGTGAGGAGTTGCATATCTGAGTACAGGCAGGCTCAGCACAATAAATGAGATTGGGTAGAGCGTGAGGTACTTGCTTTTCAACAGTATTTTAAATTAAAGCATTGTCTGGGACTCAAACACCCGCCGTTGTGGTGCGTGCAAACTGAAAGTAGCTCAGTCATCCATCTGACCAGGCAGTGACCTGTTCTCTGTCTTTTCCTGTGGGGAATGATCAATAATCAAAAAAGACAGAGTTTAAGCCTAATTGCTACTTTTGTAGAAGAAGTGGCTTTAAAGTTCATGTGCCTTACAAGCACAGCACAGAGGAGTTATGAGGCACCTTCTGAGAGCATCAGTGTGTTGGTACGGCTCTTGTGGATCCGTGAGTAGATGGTGGACGTGTTTCTGCAGACTCCGGGATGGTATTAATATTAAGGAATTTCTCATCCGCAGAGGGGGATGGTGTTATCTGCAGGGTCAGACAGAAAGAGGAAACCAGTGCAAGCACTGAGGTTCTAGAGAGAAGCCCTTCTCTTGGAGAAAGTACTTCACACGGCGCCGTGGGAGGCAGACAGCCTAGCATGTTCTAGAAAGTTCATCTTGGCAGCTAGATGTCATGAAGCTATAAAGAGAAACTAAGTAATGTTGGGTTTCTGTCTTGCTTTGTTGGCTGTGTATAATATAAGCTAGGCAAAAAGTGGAACAGAAAATTGCAAATGAGTCAGTAAGCTGAAGGGAGATGTTACCTAAGGAAGACTTGGAGGGTTTGGATGGTTTTTTTCGTCATTTCTGCTTATCCTAGATAGCGCAGAGGAATGGCTTTCGTGGATGGGAACGGCCTGCAGAAGGGGCGTGTCGAGAGGTACCCGAGCCTTCGCCCAGAGCAGCGCTTCGTGTCGCTTGTGCCAAGGCCTGGCAGAACATGGTCTTCTGAACTTCTCTTTTTCCACCTTGAGAAACTCTTGATGAGCTCTTCCCCTAACGGGTGTGCAGGTTCTTGTACTGCACAGCTATGAATGAGGTATTTGAAAGACATCAGAAGCTCTTAAGTTTGCTTGTTTGTTTTTGTTGTTGGAGGTTTTTTTTAATTTTATTAGGATTTGCAGCTGTATGTTGGGTTCAGCAAAAATGAAGATTGGGGTGTTGTAAATGAAGATTGGGTATGTTGCCCTGGGCGTGTGTTAAGAACGCGTTTAGCAGCAGTGGACAGACGGATAGGCTGGTCAGCAGAGCTCAGGTGTTTGCTTATTTATTTCTTTGTAGCTTTATGTGGCTTCCTTTGGCTGCCAAATGCCCCGAGAACCTTTTAAGAGAAACCGTGCTGCGTGGAGCCCGTCGCACCCCGGCCAAACCTTGTGCTTCTGGTGCCTGACCAGGAGCGAGCTGGAGATGGGCTCGTCCTCGCAGGAGCTTGGTGGGATCTGCTCGGAGACATGAGAGGTGTCAGGCGAAGGCTTCACAGGTGGCACGGTCCGGTCTGGTTTATGCTCGGTACATCTGGGTCTGTGGTGCACGTACGGAGCGTTTGATGTCTGCCAAACGCCGGATTTGTTCCCTGGTGAGCCCGTCACATCTTCACACCCTGGAGAGCTGTTGGCTGTGATTTGGAGAATGGAGCTGCCAGCTTGAGGGGGATGCTGGGTCCGGAGAACTCACTGCTCTGGGCTGGCGAGACTCTTCCAGCCAAA